ACACACACACACACACACACACACACACACACACACACACACACACACACACACGCACACACATGCACACACACACACGCACACATGCACACATGCATGCACACATGCACGAGAAAAGCAGCATAGCACAGTTCAGCCATTCTCAAATTGGATGGTCCGAAGACCCCTTTCGTGACAGAGGAACGCAAACATCTTTCGTCGCTGTGGGTTGTATCTATCAACGCTTATCACACCGCTGATTAATCCTGGAAAACAATTTCAGGACACACGGGCAGCCAAGCACACAGTCCCTCGGCTGGTAGGATGCGGATGTCATCACCGGCCTCGGAGCCACTGGGGAGGTCCACCGTGCCCCCCCAAAAACAGCAGTGTAAAGGACAAAGCACGCTTCGTGTTATGACGAAAACGGTTTTGACCTCGTGGACTCCCTGTAAGGGTCTCAGGCTTCCGGGTGGGTCTCTGGCCCCATGTGGATGAAGAGCTGGTGCTGCAGATGAGAGCAGACATCCCAGAGGTGTCCTCCTGGGGATCAGACGTGGGCGTCACGGCTGGCGGAGGGTTGAGCTTAGGGGGCCCTGAATCCTCGTCTGGAGGATGGGTTCGGTGACGGCGCTGACCTTGCAAGGTGGAGACCAGGATTCAGAGCTCGAGATGGTGTCGAGTGCGGGGCAGAGAATGTGTGAGCATTTGCCATTTTTGCTTCACCTGCCATATTGGGCGGATAGGTGGCCAGCAGGATGATTCTTTCTTCTTCCTCATGGAATATTCATCTGTGATCACGGAATCACAAAATCTGAGGGCTGAAGGGGACTTTTCAGGTCTACCCTAGTCAAAGTATTCTTTTGCTACCTTACTGATAGGCAGAAAAGTTGGCACCAGTATCTCATAAAGAGTCGTATGCAAAGCCAAAAATCTCACTCGCAATTTCCTCTACTCGTTGGCTTTCATTCTTACCCTTGGAATAAATCTTATTATACTTCCTTCAGTAACTCACGCAGAGTGTTCAGGTAATTTCATTAAATACATTTTCTTCTCATGGCTCCTAATGTTAAAAATCATCCTGACTCTTTGCTGTTCCAATATCTTTGGTTTTCCATCTGACTGGGGAGAAACCAGGGAAGGAAAAAGTTCAGAAGCAAAGGGAAAGATGTAGGAGGGGAAATCTTGCTGGCAGCTGCTACCCACCCCAGTCTGCGGCTGACGGAAGTCCGTCTGTTTTTCCCGTGCATTCCCATTGGGAAAGGAAGCGGCCTACCCCTTAGGCGGACCCAGATATTTTGCGTGGGAGGCAGTATCATCAATCAGACCCATTGCCAACACTGAAGGATCTTTGCGATGCTCATTGACCTACGTCAACCCAGCGACGTTGCCTCTGTGTTGATGTCCAACGCCTCATAAAATTCCCTCATCATTCGAGAGACAGCACAGATAAGGAAAGAGAAAAATGCTTCTCAGTCCCTTGTGGGAGTAACATTAACACACACCGTTTTATTTAAATCATGTTACCAGCCAGGTCTGGAAAACGTTCTTATGTACCTGCTCTGGAGACTTTGAACATCTAAAGCAATGGTTCTCACTTAGGGTGACTGTTCCCCCCAGAGGCCCTTTATCAATGTCTAGAGACATTTTTGATTGTCTTGACTTAGGGTGCCACCGGCACCTAGGGGGTGGAGGCCAAGGACGCTGCTAAACGTCCTACAGTGCCCAGGACAGCCCCACGGCAGAGAATGAACCAGCCAGAAGTGTGAGCAGGGTCGTGGTTGAGAAATTGTGCTCAAAAGTTTATTATTTCTTTTTTACCAAAACTATTGTTATGGAAGCCCTCATCAAAACTCTTTGGTAAAAGCTGAGGACAGTATCCTCATATCTATATTCATCTGCAAATTTGATACACAGATGTCTATCGACTCTTTAGGAAATAGCCTTAACTCTTCCAGATCAAGACAAGTGGAGTCAGCACCCCTGGTTTTCCAATGGAGCAAGATTAAATTTACATTTTTCAGGACAGTAAACCTAAACGTACAAATTCATTACAGTGGAATACCTGTCAGTCTCATCTTTGCAAGCAGATGGAATGTTATCCTAGAAAAGTCTAGGACCAATCTGCAAAGAACATAGGCAACATAGTTGGCTAAACCATTGGAAAATCTCTAAATTCTGGCCACAGATGTTCAGCTGGGAGGGAAGGAAGGGAGGTCCTGGTGTCCCCAAGAATCAAATTCTAGAGGTAAAATAATTAGGTCTCTTATTCTGTCATTAACATAAAATTATATGTGGTTCTGTTTTTTCCAACTTAGAAAAATAAAGCAAAACCTTGATGCTCGATATGACATTTCTGTAATGAAGACGAGAGAAGGGAGCTAGGTCTCCCAGTAGATTTTGCCGAAAACAATTTTTTCTTTTAATTACGAAAACAACTTTCTGTATTCTTGGGATTCCCTGTGGTTTATTAAAGATATCCATACTTTCCCTTAAAAATATTTTCTTTCCTATTACTTTCTCTATGGAACAAACTCACTCTATTTTGAATATCACACAGGTAACACGTAGACAAATTGACCCTCAAAACCTTCTCTTTTGTGTCCCCCTAAACTTTCTCCTTCTTCTATGACTCTCAGATCTTCCCCAGTGTTGACCAGGAAAAGGCGGATGGCTTGCTGGCTTAGAGCCGAGAGAGAACGAGCATATTCGAGAGGTCACGGCCACCCAAGGGGAGTCCCCAAAACATCCTTTTCGATGCCGTGAAGTCCTCCCCAGGTGACAGAATTTGACCCGAATTTCGGAAAAGCACTCGTGAGAAACACTTCTGTTCTGGCCACGTCACGAGTAATGTGCCATCTCTGGGCTTGGCTGCCATTTACCTGTGACACACGCGTGTGGTTTAAAACGATCCCGAGTATTTTGAGAGCTTAGACAGCGTTTCAAAGTTCAGCTCCGTAAGGGCACTTCCGATTTCTCGTGGCAGAAATCAGCCTCCTCCCGACAGACAGTATTTGTTTAGCTCTGTGAAACGGTGACGTTTCATAGCGCCATGATTTCTCGCCTGCTTCTAGGAACGAACACGTGAGGTAAAAAAGGAGTTGAATCTCTGCATAAAAAAAAAAAAAAAAATCTTAAATATTTTGCTTTTCGGTAAGAAAAGAAATTGTGAGACTCGGGGTCTTTTTCTTTTTTAATTAAATCCCTTTTATAGTCTCAAGACCCAGTTCCGTTATCACATGCTGATCTGAAGAAAGCAATTCCATGTCCTCTGTTCTTAAATGAAGTGTCGTCTTTTGTTGGCGTGTGACAGAAAAACAGCCACAAGAGATGGAGGTAGAGATTGTGTCCGAGAGACAGAGATTCATTCTTGCTCTTGAGAAGTCGTGCAAAAGCCTTGTCATCACTTGTGGAAAGGGTGGCAGAGCAGGGTTGGATTCCAATGTCCCACCTCCCGTCCATGCTCAGACCGTTTTTCTCCATTGGGGAGCAAGCTTCCCCTCTCCTCCCTCCCTTCCTTCCTGTTCAGGATCCTGTATTATTAAGGACTGAATCTTTTTTTAAACGAATTGGATAGATACGAGGCACAGTGACGGCCAGAGCACCTGTCTGTCTACCTCGTTCCCTTCCCGCCCTCGCTCGGCGAACAGAAACGCGGGCTCGGGACGCGAGCCGAGTCTGTCCTTTGTTCTTATTTTTAACTTAAGATAATGGAATATTTTCAGTCCATAGACGTCTGCAGAACGCGTTAATAATAAGGGTTGAGGCCGGAGAAGCGCTAAGTAACAAGGCTATAATTATATGACAGGGTTTTTAGTGACATCAAAATAAAGCACGAAAAAAGAAGGAAAAAACAAAACCAAAAAAAAAAACAAACCAAAAAAAAACGGTCCAGGGACGTAGGATCTCTCAAGAACGCTTACCCCAATTATATAACCAAGTGAAACGTCCAGATTCTGATTGCCTTAGGCTAAGGGATGACAGGATGGCGTGTTTTTCATCAGAGGAAGAAAATCCTCAGGGTAAACGGACTCTTTCAGTTAGCTCTCTGCCCTGTTTCAATGGCTTCACTTCTTCTCGTGGCTGCTCATGTATTTTTAACCCAAAACAAAACGTTGGCTTTTTTCCCTTTCTTCAAACTCCGAATCAGCGAATGCTGCTCGTCGTCAATTTTATTTAGCTATAGCTTGCAATCCAGAGACTCCCTCTTCTTGACCTGGTTAGACATCGAACAGGACAAGAGATATACACTTGACCCTTGAAACGACACGGGGACTAAGGGTGCCAACCGCCCACACAGCTGACAATGTGAGTGTAACTTAAGTTGGCCTTCATCGTAGGAGGCGTCCCCACTGCGAGTTGACCCTTGAAATGTGGTCAACTGAACTGCGATTCAATTGGCAAAACATCCCCAGATAAGTGGGCGTGAGCAGGTGAAACCCACGTGGTTGAAGGGTCAACTGCATTTATATTTGGCCGTGCATTCGGGCATCTTAGGGTGTTTAATGGCGTCAACATTATTATGGACCAATTAGCTCATTCTGCTTTCATTGGTGTCTCTTCCATCCAGGTTGCCCTATGCCACGTACGATGTTCTTATTTTGTTTAACCCAAATCGTCAGGTATTCTTATTTTCAGTAGACCTGGAGTTTGTGAATAAAGCTTTTCCTCGGCCAAGGCAATAGGCAGAAGATAGTGTTTAGGAGAAGGACTGGGTTGAGCAGATGAGACAGACGCCCAGTCAGCTGGGTGTCATTGTCCCTGGTGATTAGTAGTCACATGACCTCGGATAATGAGTTTACGTGTGGGAGTAGCGGGCTGGCCTCGCCACATTGCACGTGGCCTGCGGCAGACATCAGTGAGTGTTTCCCGTGTTGGTTACTTAATTATGGCCGCAGCTGCGTCATGCTCTCTTCCCGCTGGAAAAACAACTCAGAATTCAGGGCGTTTCAGCCCAAGGACGATATAACCGTTCACGCCCTCACGCCGCCTGCTTCATCCCGCAGGATCATCGATGGACGAGACCTCATGCCCCTGCTTCGAGGGACGAGCCAGCGCTCGGATCACGAGTTTCTCTTCCATTACTGCAACTTCTACCTGAATGCCGTGCGCTGGGCCCCACGGAACAGTGAGTAAACACACCTCTCCTGCGTCTGGGGCTTGGTGCCGTCGCCGCTGTGCGGGGAGGTGACATCGCAAGCGCGCTTTGCTCCGTGGGGGCCGGGGCGTGCCTCGGAGTGACCGCGCTTTGCTGGGAACTCTTCCTCCTGTCCTCCTGTGTTCCTTCTGGCCCCGTACGTGTCCAGACAGGACATCAGCGGACCTGGCGTTCAGCCATGTCGACGCCAGTGACGGGTCCTCCTCCGGGCAGGGGAAGCTCCAGGTGCTCAGTGGGGCACTGCGTCCTTTCCTCTGTGTCCGCTGGCCATGTCTCCTGCCACTCCCTCCTCCCTCCGTGCTCCGTGCATGGCTGAGATGCCCCTGTAGCTTCTTCCACCTCGAAGGACTCGCCTTCCGCCCTTCCCTGCATGATGCTCACCCATCCCGCGGACGCTTTGGGCTGTGGGGCTGAGTGGTGCTTGGATGCTCACTCACATTCTCTCCAGACAGAGCCTCAGAGATGGCGGGTCCCAAGTTTTTGGTCTGTGTTTTGTCACGGACCCTGCTGGATTTGCGAGACGTGGGTCTTTAAAACGAAGTCAAATGCGTCGATGATGTCGTATGTCCCAAACTGGGCGTCTTTTCAGTCGTATGCTCTATCGGCGTTGGGGTCGGATTTGGGTTTTGTGATGCCACTTTTAGAGTTGCATTCCAGCAAGCCCTAAGGTACAGATGGAACCAAATGGCAAGCCTCAGTGCAGTGATACGGTCCAGATGTTTTTATATATTTAACCTTAGAATCACGATAGTGTTTCTATCATTAACATACCCAGGAGTTCCTGAAAATCCAGGCGACTGTTTGTACTACTGTCGTGTACTCTAGAGGTCTATGTTGAGGTTGCACGTTCTGCTCACTCTTCAGAGGTTCAATAAATCTCCCCTTTTCCCGGGTGCGTTTGGGGGTTCTGTCCTAGAGGTTATATGCCCCCAGGACATCTGGTACCCTGCCAACCGATGGCTCATTCTCGAACTCAGAATGAGACTCGTCCTGGCTTTCAGAGCAGGTCTCTGCCCACCCTACTCACCCCAGCCCATTTTCCCAAGACTTCTCATGGAGGCTCAGCCTCTCCATTCTTTTTAAAATAGAAAATGGCAGCCCGTCCATTATCCACAGCAATCACACCAGCTCTACCCTTCAGGGTCTCTGCTTTAAACCCAGGCAGCTGCCTTGCAAGATGTTCTAGAAGATGGATGAACCAAAACGGCCCTGAGTTTCTAGACCTGGAAGGATTCTTTTCACCTGTGTCATCCACGTGTCCTTAATTTCAGAGCTCTGTGGAAATCCTGGTTCTTTTTCAGATGAATGAACAGCATTTAGGTCTGAAGCATCTGATAAGTAAGCCGGCTTTCTCCTTATATTTATTCGCGTGGAGGCTCTGTTAAAAAGTGAACAGCTTAGTTTCTGTGACTCTCGCGTGTTGAGCAGTATGATAGCATGTCTTCACCACTGCGAAACCGCATTTAAATAAAGCCAACCCCCCACTCCCCCCAGACAGAGAAGCCAGAAGGAGCATATTGGATCAGAGGCTGGAGAAACGCGTTCTGCGGGGGAAGTACGGGCAAGACGGACAGGAAGAGGCAGAAAATAGGAATGAGTGTGAAAAACAAGCCCCAGATTCTGACAGGCAGGTGGCCCTTGCATCGAATTTGCCTCTTCGACAGACAGACATGAGTCACATTACCTCGTACGCAGGTTCTGAAAACCTTCTGCCTCGAACCAGCAACCGAAGAGGAGTCACGGCATATCAATGCCGGAGTCGTTCACTGAGCGGAAGGGTTTCAATAAACCGTGGGTTGACTTAAAACATTTAAGTCACCCCTTATTTACTTGTCAGGTTGCATCTGACACTCCGTAACACATGGCCGTTGTCTTGGGCGTCACGCACGGCCTCTTGGTGGTTTATTTAGTATTTTGTGTACTCGTTGATTCTACGAGTGGCTATTAAGCACCTATGACGCGGTTCCCACGCTGCTGGGACGGGCGTCTGTCGGTGAGCAAAGCAGAAGTTTCCCTTTAGTCTGCAGAGGGAATAAAAGTCCAGCCCTGGCATTTACCTCTGGCGGGTGCAGTGGCTGGACGAGGAGCTGCTGGCTGTCTGTGTTGCTTAGGTCTTAGAGGGTGAAGTGCTCAGGACGCCGAGGTGCGTAAGGAGAGTGTGACCATCATCCACACAGCGTTACCTGTCAGCTAGAGAAAGCGCCGATGCCACCTTGGTGACCTGGCTGACTTCATCTCAGGCCGACACTGGTAGGATGGTGTCACCAATCCCGGACGTGACCCCTTTCCCCAGGGAGAGCTGGCTTTTTCGGTACCGGTGAACTAGAATCGACGGCAGGTGTTTTTAAGATAGTTACCATTTGTCCTCATTAGTTGGACGTCTGACTCTTGCAATGCCAGACTTACTAAATACTCATTTTTCAAAATCTTATAGCTGGAAATCTGTGTGAAAGCTTCAAAAACATTCGTCCCTTTTAGCTTTTATATACAACGTCTCCTCCATAATGTAGTAATTCTACAATTATAATAATTCTATAATTTAGTCGTCTCAGCCAGTTGAATGACATAATTTAATTGTGACCTGATATCATTGTTCCTGTTACATTTGAAAAGGATTATCATCACATGGACAAGTTTTCTTGCCTTAAAACGGGAATTTTAAGTTCAGATTTACCGTTCAACGGGCATTAAAATCTTTGACTTTAAGTTTGGACATATAAATCAATGTTATTAAAAATTCAGTGGAATGATAAGTTGATTTTATGGGTAAAGTTTGCGTTGGAAGGCAGATAGATAGATACTTGGCTCCAGGAGTCTGTTGCAGATTTTGAGCTGCTAAAGAGAGTCTCTAAAATAAATGTCCGCATTCATGTGAGGGACCCCAAAGCGGCTGATCATACAGAAATCCTTGGGCTGTGGTCAGCCAGATGCCGAACCTACAGGGCCTCGTAAATCCCGCTACGTTTTCCATTCAAGTTTGTTGGAAACTTTTCTCCTGTGATATCATTTTTAAAAATCACAAGGGAAAACAGTAGATAATGAGATTCATGCTACAGAAGCGTGTCTGTATCTGGCTTTTTAAAAGGCACCTTCTTTCCAAATTGGAGACCAGCGACGTTTAAGAGCAAAATGTCCTCGCCGTGGTAAGAAAAAAACGCTTGCTTTGCTCACTGTGTCACATGTTGACTCCATCACAAAATTAACTCACCCCTAGAATGCAGCTGAGGAAAGAGAGAAGACTCTCATCGCAGCTGCTTGTGGCTCATGGGTTAACCAGGGCCAGGAAGACGGTGTCGGCTTGATGTCCTCGTGGATAATCTCAGTGGGAGTCCTGCTGACCTCGTCCTGGTAACCTCGTGGGACTTGAGGGGTCACGAAGAACATTTGGAGGTGTCGAGGCTGAGCTGACGTGGGCTGTGGCCTTTTCAAGCGAACGCTCACTGCAGATCTTCACGTGTTTCACCTTCCCTTACGGAGGACGAGCTCTCCCTCTCTCACTTTTCTTGGACGTAAGAAGCAGCATCGCGACGTTCAACCGGGCCGAGGATAATAGGCCGTCTCAGGACGTCCCGTTCCTTTCTGGAAAGACCTCAGCCAAATGCGGCATTCGCAAGGGCTTTTCTGCTGTCAGGGGTTCACCCTTGGGTTGTTTTACCCGTGTCCTCAGCCCAGTAGTAAGGGGATCACGTGGGACGGTGTCCCGGGATGGACAGAATCTGCTCTTGGTGACCTAGGAGAGGAGGGATGGAGAAGCCTTTCGTGAAATTTCTCGATTTTTGTGTAGTCAGATCATCATGTCACAGACACTGTAGTAAAGGGTGTCACTTCCCAATCATTCATTTTCTTTGAGGGGAAAAAAACTCATGAATGAGTCTTCCTCTCTTCACATGGCCCTTCCTGTGACCTCACAAACAGTACGCGGCAGTTTTTTGAAAGACACACCCACTTTCCCCCTAAAGTTTCCCGATGTTTGACCTAAGATGACATTAACATCCTAGACAAAAGAAGTGGCAGCTGTGGCTTTGGTTAATTTGCCACAACTCTGACTTCCTTCTGGAGAGAAAATAATCAGATTCGAAATTTCTTTCTAGAATACAAAAAAGGCACCGCGTTTCTGAGCGTTGAAACACTCTTCGTCCAGCTTAGGTCGGCGCCCAGCTTGCTCTGACCTTAGCACCAGCGCTGACTTCTAACGCGCTCTGCTCCCTTCCGGCCTCGGTTCCAGAAGCTTAGGTCGGCGCCCAGCTCACTCTGACCTTAGCACCAGCGCTGACTTTTAACGCGCTCTGCTCCCTTCCGGCCTCGGTTCCAGAATTTTCCTCATTTCCTACAATGTCTTGCATCTCTCTCTTTTTTTTTTTTGACTGAGCGCATCTCAGTTTTCCCCATATGCCCGCTTCTGTCTCTCACCCCGTCCTGGTCTGCTTCCATCTGCTATCGGACCTGGCATTTTCTACGGGGACATTTGAGTTCCAACCCAGGCGGGTCGCTTATAATAGCTCTTTTTTTTAATTTTGTCTTCTTCACCTTGGTGTCTTCCTTTGCAAAAGCGTTTCATAGGTACCTGGATACTTTGCTCTTTGTTAATCGCTTCTTCTCGAGGTTAGTCTTTTTATGGGAGTGCTGTGTATTTTTTTGAAGATATACTTCATCACCACACACTGGGACATTTGTTCCATCTCTGCCGTCTGGCAGACATTCTGATACAAAGTTTGCATGCAGCGCCTTTTCATCCTCACGATGAAGAGATTTTGATTATATTCATGTCAGGTTCGACTGTAACAGGAAACAAAAAGAAGCAGCATCTTCCGTCGGAGGGACATTTATATCTCCACCTCGTGAGTTAAGTCTAGCGGTGAATGGTTCACGGAGCCTCAGCGGTGCAGACCCCCAGCTGCCCCCGCAAAGCCGGGGGACACAGAAGCCTCCTGTTCGTGCTGAATGAGGAAGGTATCCACTTAGGGACATCG